ATGACATATTGTAATTTCTAGTGATCGATGGTTTAAATTAAAATATTCGACTGTACTCGTTGATATAGTTTGGATTTTGATACGAAAGTAATAACCTTCAATAGAATGAAAAAGAAACGAGAAAGACTATGCTAAACTGAATAAAGGAGGGTCTGCTTATCACACATTCGACTAAACATCGAAGAAATTGCGAAAAAGCACCAGGCACAGATTCCACATTGTAATTACTGTCCCCCACTAGGACAAGATGTGACACAAGGTCTATTTTTAGGTGGGGACCCGAGCGCGTACACCCGAGACAGGAACAAAAATTCCCCTCAACCCCCGCAATCGTCGGTCGAGCTGGCCTCACTGTGAGCACAGATCCCTCCCTCTGGAGTAATGTGAGGGTGCGGCCTCGGTCAGCTGTTCCCCAGGGCCCGGCACCTCATCAGTATAATTTTCTCAGTTGTTCCTGTGTCCTTTGACAGATAAGCCTCTGAGCGCACTCTGCCCAAAGACGGAGACGCAACTGAGAGATAAGTAGATGTGGACCCACTGAAATAAAATGCACAAATACTTTATATAAACATTGAAATAAAGTAAGTTTATATTTGTGTTTTTGTTTAATCTATGTTTTTATTTCATAACATTTAAATATATACGCTTTAAAAATTTTACTAACTGGGTCGTCATATTTTTATTCGTTCTTATGTGTGCTGTTGCTTAAAAAGTTTGACAAAATCCAAGTGAAGTAACAATACGTTTGTCAGAATAGCTAGTGAAAAAATGTTATGGATCGGCTACCTTCTTCATCAATCAGTGGGCTAATCACTTCTCATGGTGAATATTGAAATGGCTACATAGTGGAATTATCGTAAATTTTGAGGACATTTTATGAAAATAGGACACGACAGGGAAGTCCGAGTTTTCGTGATGGGAGTGACTTTAACGTGGCGACTCATACATGATAGAGATCAAACCCATGATTATATGTAAAGACAGACAGCTGGCCACTAACAAGTAATTGATATATATTCTTAAGCACATATAAAACCGGTAGGATGGATTTAAATTTCTTAATACCAGATACGGCTAAAGTATAAACAAGATCAATAAACGTTCAATTTTGATGACAGGCATTGTTGGCCGTCATGTAATATTAATAATCCATGTGGTTTGTTATGAAATTGTAGCGAATCAATATATTTATGTGTATCCTCTCAATTTATTCAAAAGGCTAGTGTAGGTTTCCAAAATTATAATCATTTATTTTTCGATAGGCTACATGAGAGTCGCTGGTTCATGATACATATGCCTGCAATAAGGGCACCTCGGCGTGGTGTAATGGTTAGCAAGCTTGTTTTGCTAGAACAATTACAACTGAGTAGCGAGTTTGATCCTCACTGGGTGTCCCATACTTTTGGCTTTGTGCCACATCTAAGCTACGCTTAGAAAATAACCATATGTCCCCAATGTATTAGTTATTGTGTTTAGATATGAATAAAAACTTAGTAGCACGCATTTATCAGTTGTGTCTGAACATTTAGGATTGGAAAATAAGCAGTTGTGCTTTTGTATGTACCGTGTAGCAGAACGTACACTGCTATAAGAAGCTTTAAGCTGAAAATGTGACCATAAAAGATCTGCGATACAAGCATTCTAATTAGCAATTGTTCCATCTTATTAGCATGGATGTAAGTTGTCTAGACAAGTCATTATAGCTAAACATTAGATTGTTTTTTTTTACATTAAGATCATAGCCAAAATTTAAGTTGAAATAAATATCAAGGTTGGGAGCTTGAAGTGGAAGATAACTCAGATAGAGAAATCAAGGTGGCTGAGAAATTCCAGGAACGGTGTTTAAACTGTAGGAGTTACCTCCTCCTTAGTTCCGTAATTCTTCACCAGGGGTTTCTCTCCCCATACTATACATACCGGGCAACCTCTTGCCCCGATCTTTTCCCCACCTCAGGCCTCGTGCCGCATTCCACCTCGCGTGGAGGTGAGGTAAATCTATTTTTCTTCTTCATTTCAGCGACAAGATGTGAGCTCTAAGAAGATCAGCGTTTCCCATTTCTGGAAAACACTATGAACATTTCAAACATACACCAAAGAACACGCACAATGTTATGTGTTTTGTAATGTGTTTAATACATATTTGTTGATATTATATATATATATATATATATATATATATATATATATATAATCTGTCTTGTTGGTCTTCTTTTGGACAAATTAAGTTCGCCAATTTATCATGTATCTGAATCATTTAATATTCTACCAGGAGTTACACTCGTATTTCTAATACAACAACACGTAAATATACACACGGTCCTCTACAAAACCATCCGAAAAAACCTATGGTAATAGTTTACGAGGGATGGATGAAAAGTTCATAGGTTAACTATAAAGGAGTGGCGCTAAATACTGTGAAGTCTTACATCTATTAATTCCACCTCTTATAACTAAATGCATTGATTCTTCCCAGATAGACTGATATTTAACTGTTCAAAGGAGATATCAGATGTAACTAATACCGACTTCTCTTGAAATTTGGTATCGTGGTTTTATCAAGTATCCGCAAAAGGAAATAGTGTAGCCACAAGGATAGTCATACAGAAGTCGTTTCTATATTAGGGAATGACGCCTCACTGCAAAAGTGGACAGGAAAGAATAGACTAAGATGGCACAGCGTCTGGGCGTCCTGCAAATGTCACCACCAGGGAAAATATTGACTTTATTCACCACATGGTTAGGGTTGACTGAAGACAGACTATAAAAAACAGAAAATGCTATTAGCATATCCGGTGAGAAAGTTGAGAATATTCTGTATAATGTACCTGGCATGTCAAATGTTTCTGCTCGGTGGGTGAAATGTCTTATGACACAGGATGAAAGGCGCGGCAGTTTGATCACATCACTGGAAATTGGAAAAAGTTCCAGGTGGTTTCCTTGAATATTTCCTAATGCAGGGTGAGTTTTCGGCTCATCATTGAGTTAGAGACAGAGATACAATCCATGCAGTGGAAACACCCATAATCACCTGCCCTAAAGACAATAAATAATTGTTTCATCCAGAAGGTGATGTCCTCGGTTCATTATTCAAAAAAACATTGTATTTATTGATTATATTTAAAAAGAGCCACAATATCAAAATAGACATCTGTGCCAACTTACTGAGGCAGTAACTAAAGACTGTAAAAACCAAACACACAGGAAAACTGACGAAAGGGGCCTTGTTTCTTCGGAACAATGCTCCTGCATACAAGTCCTTGGTTTCAATGGCTATAGATTTCATATGTTTGGTCATACTCCCTATTCTCTCTAACATGAAAAGGGTACTTGTTGAGGATCCAGTATTGTAGTGATTTGCTGTTGATTTCTTTGAACAATCATGTCAGTTTATCAGCAAGCAAACAATGCATTTAGTAATGCATGCTGCAAGATTTTACAGCTTTAGCATCATAGTCAGCCTATGAACTATTCATCCAAATTTCGTAAAACCACAAAAGGTAGACCTGAGAAATGAAAATATAACGGAAGGCAATCAGGAATTAACAGCCAATAAGTAAGGAATGATTGCAGGCTTAACAGTGAAGATACAGTTCATAAAATACGCAGAGTATTAAGAAAAAAACAAACATGAACGGGCGTATACCAGCAGAAAAAAATAATTATCCGAAATAAACATCGGAATAGAAGACTGAAAGAGTCAAAAGAACATCTAACATGTGATGCATTGAAGTGGCAAAAAGGTAATTTATAGTGAAGAATGAGAAAGTTACATATAGAAATTGAAGAGAATGTGTTATTTTACAGTTGAAATGGCTAGATGCAACCGTACTTTGTGCTAACAGTCTCTTCTCTATCACTCCTCACTTATGGAATTATTCATGCTTCCTGATTTCTAGTCAACTTTGATCAAATATTTAAATGCCATGTCAACCGATACCTTATGTCTTCTTGATTCCTCTTATTTTATGTCTGTAAGAAGGTTTACTTTTTCTCATTCTCTCAGAATCAGAAACCATTTGCATTGGTGGCTTTTTTTTCTTGGGATGAAATGATTAAAAAAATAAAAAAAATAAAAAGTTATAAAAAATATGCTACTTATAAAAAGGTAAACATGCTGAAACTAAAAGGTTGAAATCATTATGTAGAGCTTTACAAAGCATTGCTTTTAATGGCACCGACAAAAATGGTTTCATATTCTGAATAGACCTGAACATCCAATTTTCTTGAAGAATCTCAAAGATAAATCTCCCAGTGTCTGTCATATAGCAAAAAAGATAAAGATTTAAAAAAGAGAAAAATAAAAAGAGAAAAAAGAAAGAGAAAAATAAAAGAGAAAAAGAAAAAGAGAAAAAATAAAAGAAAAAGAATAAAAGAGAAAGAATAAAAGAGAAAAAAAAAAAAGAGAAAGAATAAAAAAGAAAAGAATAAAACTGAAAAGAATAAAAAATAAAAAAGAAAAAGAAAAAAAAAGAAAAAAAAGAGAAAGAATAAAAGAGAAAGAAAAAAGAGAAAGAAAAAAAAGAAAGAAAAAAAAGAATAAAAGAAAGAATAAAAGAGAAAAAGAAGAAGAAGAAAAAAGAGAAAGAATAAAAGAAAGAAAAAGAGAAAAAGAAGAAGAAGAAAAAAGAGAAAGAATAAAAGAAAGAATAAAAAGAAAAGAAAGAAAAAATTTAAAGAAAAAAAGAAAAGAATAAAAAAGAAAAAAAAAGAGAAAGAATAAAAGAAAAAAAAAAAAAGAGAAAAGAATAAAAAAGAAAGAATAAAAAAAAAAAATAAAAAAAAAAGAAAAAAAAAAAAGAAAAGAAAAAAAAGAATAAAAAAAAAAAAGAAAAAGAAAAGAATAAAAGAGAAAGAATAAAAAAAGAAAGAATAAAAGAGAAAGAATAAAAGAGAAAGAATAAAAAAGAAAGAATAAAAAGAGAAAGAAAAAAAGAGAAAGAAAGAGAATAAAAAGAAAAAATAAAAGAAAAAGAATAAAAGAGAAAAAAAAAAAGAAAAGCCTAAAAGAAAAAAAGAAAAAATAAAAGAAAAAGAATAAAAGAGAAAAGAATAAAAGAGAAAAGAATAAAAAAGAATAAAGAAAAAATAAAAAAAGAATAAAAGAAAGAATAAAAGAGAAAAGAAAAAATAAAAAGAATAAAAGAGAAAGAATAAAAGAGAAAGAATAAAGAGAAAGAATAAAAAGAGAAAAGAAAGAGAAAAAAAAAGAGAAAGAATAAAAAGAAAGAAGAAAAAAAAAAAGAGAAAGAATAAAAGAAAAAGAATAAAAAAAAAGAATAAAAAGAAAAGAAAAAAAGAAAATAAAAAGAGAAAGAATAAAAAAGAAAGAAATCAAAGAGAAAAAGAAGAATAAAAAATAAAAAGAAAGAAAAAAGAAAGAAAAAAAAAGAAAAAAAAAAGAAAAAGAATAAAAGAGAAAGAATTAAAAGAGAAAGAATAAAAAAGAAAAAAGAGAAAAAAGAGAAAGAATAAAAGAGAAAAGAATAAAAGAGAAAGAAATAAAAAGAAAAAAAAAAAGAAAAAGAATAAAAGAGAAAAAAGAGAAAAAAATAAAAGAGAAAGAATAAAAGAGAATAAAAGAGAAAGAATAAAAGAGAAAGAATAAAAGAGAAAGAATAAAAGAGAAAGAATAAAAAGAAAAAAAATAAAAGAAAGAATAAAAGAAAAAAAGAGAATAAAAAGAATGAAAGAAAAGAATAAAAAGATGGAATAAAAGAGAAAGAAAAAAAGATAAAGAGGATAAAATTCCAAAGAAGAAAGAATAAAAAGAGAAAGAATAAAAAAGAAAAGAATAAAAGAAAGAATAAAAGAGAAAGAATAAAAAGAGAAAGAATAAAAGAGAAAGAATAAAAGAGAAAAGAATAAAAGAAAAAGAATAAAAAGAGAAAGAATAAAAGAGAAAGAATAAAAGATAAAGAATAAAAGATTTTAAAATAAAAAAGAGAAAAGAATAAAAGAGAAAAATAAAAGAGAAAGAATAAAAAGAGAAAAGAAAAAGAAAAAAGAATAAAAAGAGAAAGAATAAAAGAGAAAAATAAAAAGAAAAGAATAAAAGAGAAAAAAGAGAAAGAATAAAAAAGAAAAGAATAAAAAGAGAAAGAATAAAAGAGAAAAATTATAAAGAAAAAATAAAAAGAAAGAATAAAAAAGAAAGAATAAAAAAAGAAAGAATAAAGAAAGAAAAAAAAGAAGAAGAATAAAAAAAAAAAAGAAAGAAAGAGAAAAAAATAAAAGAAAAAGAATAAAAAGAGAAAGAATAAAAGAAAAGAGAAAAAGAATAAAAGAAAGAATAAAAAAGAAAAGAATAAAAGAGAAAGAATAAAAGAGAAAGAATAAAAAAAAAAAAAAAGAAAGAATAAAAGAGAAAGAATAAAAGAGAATAAAAAAAGAAAAGAAGAATAAAAAGAATAAAAGAGAAAGAAAAAGAAAAGAATAAAAGAGAAAGAATAAAAGAGAAAGAATAAAAAAAGAAAAAAATAAAAAAGAAGAATAAAAAGAGAAGAAAAGAAGAAAGAATAAAAAGAGAAAGAATAAAAAGAAAAAGAAGAAGAAGAATAAAGAAGAAGAAAGAAAAAAGAGAAAGAATAAAAGAAAAGAATAAATAAAGAATAAAATAAAAAGAAAAAAAAGAAGAAAAAACAAAAAGAAGAAAAAGAGAAAGAAAAAAAGAAATAAAAAAAAAATAAAAGAGAAAGAAAAAAAGAAAAGAATAAAAAGAAAACAAAAAAAAGAAAAAGAAAAAAAGAAAAAAGAATAAAAAAAGAAAAAAAGAGAGAGAAAAAGAGAAAAAAAAAAGAGAAAGAAAAAAAGAGAAAAAATAAAAAAAAAAGAAGAAAAAACATAAAAGAAAAGAATAAAGAGAAAGAAAAAAAAAGAAGAGAAAATAAAGAGAAAAAAAAAAAAAGAAAAAATAAAAAGAAAAAGAATAAAAGAAAAATTGAAAGAAAGAAAAAAGATAAAAGAAAGAATAAAAAAAAGAATAAAAGAAAAAGAATAAAAAGAAAAGAATAAAAGAAAAATAAAAAAGAAAAGAAAAAAGAAAAGAATAAAAAGAAAGAAAAAGAGAAAGAATAAAAAAAAAAGAATAAAAAAGAGAAAGAATAAAAGAGAAAAAAAGAATAAAAAGAGAAAGAATAAAAGAAAAGAATAAAAAGAAAAAAGAATAAAAAATAAAAAAAAAAGAAAATAAAAAAAAGAATAAAAAAAAAAAAGAATAAAAAAGAAAAGAAAAGGAAAAAGAAGAAAAGGAAAAATAAATAAAAAAAAGAAAAAGAAAAAAAAGAAAAAAAAAAGATGAAAAAAGAATAAAAAAGATGAAAAAAAGAATATAAAAAGATGAAAAAGAATAAAAAAGATGAAAAAAGAATAAAAAAATGAAAAAAAAGATAAAAATAAAAAAAAGAATAAAAAGATGAAAAAAAGATGAAAAAAATATAAAAAGATGAAAAAAAATAAAAAAAGATGAAAAAAGAATAAAAAGATGAAAAAGAATAAAAAAGATGAAAAAAAAAAAAAAAGATGAAAAAAAAAAAGAAAAAAGATGAAAAAAGAATAAAAATGAAAAAGAATAAAAAAAGAAAAAAGAAAAAAAGAAAAAGAATAAAAAAGGAAAAAAAGATTAAAAAAAGAATGAAAAAAAATAAAAAAAAGAATAAAAAAAGAATAAAAAGAAAAAAAATGAAAAAAATAATAAAAGATGAAAAAAAGAATAAAAAAAAAAAAAGAATAAAAAAAAAGAAAAAAAAAAAGAAAAAAAGAATAAAGAAAAAAGAATAAAAAAAAAAAAAGAAAATAAAAAGAAAAAAAAATAAAAAATAAAAAAAAAAAAAAGAAAAAAAAAAAAAAAAGAAAAAAAAAATAAAAAAGAAGAATAAAAAGAAAAAGAATAAAAAAGAAGAAGAATAAAAAAGAAGAAGAATAAAAAAGAAGAAGAATAAAAAAGAAGAAAAAAGAAGAAGAATAAAAAAGAAGAAGAAGAAAAAAGAAGAAGAATAAAAAAGAAGAAGAATAAAAAAGAAGAAGAATAAAAAAGAAGAAAAACAAAAAAGAAGAAAAACAAAAAAGAAGAAAAACAAAAAAGAAGAAAAAAGAAGAAAAAAGACGACGAAAAAAGAAGAAAAAGAAAAAAAGAAGACGAAAAAAGAAGACGAAAAAAGAAGGAGGATAAGAATAAAAAGAAGGAGGATAAGAATAAAAAGAAGGAGGATAAGAATAAAAAGAAGGAGATTAAAGGACACATAGCAGAGTGGATGAAGGCGGTAGTTACACCCAATGACAGGACCCAAAGAATGTCAGTTCAATACCCGGTTAAGGCAGTGGAGAACTTGGCGAGGGGAATTAACAGGAGATAACTGATAACTGACAGCCATTAAAGATGGCACATGGAACTAGAACAGTCTACCCCAATGAGCGAAATAAAGTGTACAGTTCGACATTCCAAACACCTTAAGAAGGCCGGTGAGTACAACGGCCGAAACCTTGTAATAAAGATGGCGACAAAGATGAGGACAAATAGACCGAATAGTGTAAAATTTGTACGTTTGGCCAAGCTAGCTGTTTAAGTTAAGCTTATCTTCACTGCCAAGTGATTGAACTCCCAATTACAATATCACCGAATCCACGAACCAAGTCTTGCCTCCTGAAACAATAGGAGAACGAGTTAAATCCTTGCGCTGCGTAGTGCATACTTGAACTATAGTAATAACACTGCAGTACAAAAATCGATCTTCGAACGAGTTATTCCTGGACAGAATCAGTGGAAAAGAAAAATGTAACCCAGGAGATTAAATAAAGGGTACATTTAAAAATTCCCTGAAACTTACCCAGATCGACAAGCACCTGACGAATAGTGGGGGATCGAAATGGGATAATAACCGAGATAGATGTCGACAACAATCTGCATGTACAAATAATGAGAAGTCCAGATCCTAGAAACTCAGACAGATATTTCAGGTCGTTTACATAGGTTCATACACACAAATGATATCATCTTACCGATACTGTCGTTCATCTTACATTTACAAATGAAGCCGGTGAATAACCAAGAGATTAGATCATACATATTCGTAGGATTTATTGCCGGGATACAAAAATATTTAAAAGAATCCAATAATCTATTCTCCAATACAATTATACATATTCTACGTGTGGGAACACATTATGAATTAAAAAAAAAAAAAAAAAAAAAAAAAAAAATGAAATATATTTTATGAAAAATAATAAATATGGGCCTATTCAATGCCGAAATTCTGATTCAATTTGTAGTCAGTGTTGATACCATTTCCAACTTTATTCCTTTTTGTATTCGTGTAAATGATAGAAAATTAGTTAACTGGCGATTTCGGCTGTACTCAGAAATATGAATCAATACTAAACGTCCGATGATGTATATAGACATACACGGAAATCTTAAAATAGGAAAAAAACAACAACAAAAAAAAACTTACGCCTAGAATCAAATATACGCTATTTGAAGTACTTCATTTCTGAGAATACTTCACAAATATAGCTTCTCGTTGTGGTTAGAAAACTGGATAATATTTTTGAGGTCGGTTTTTCTGGGAGGTTTGTTCGGTATAAATAAAGCTTAAGAAGTCACGTTGATTATTATTGATGAATATGTTTGATTCCCCACGAGTACACGTTATTTTCTACTTCGATATTCAGTATCCCAACATGGGTTGATACATTGTAAGCCAACCAACAAAACTACAGATACGTGCCCCGCACTTTTGCTCTTGCACCAACGAAAGCTTAGTAAATAATAATACCGACATATTTATTCAGGCCTATTATGCACAATAAGCCAACAAACTGCATTCCTACAAGTGGAACTAAAAGAAAACTCAAATACCTGATGCGCAAGTCGTCCTTTTTGACGTACAACTAGACAATCTTTGAGTCCTTCCGACTTTCTGCATAAGATGTGCATAGAACTGTGCGTCAAAATGGAATACATGCCTATGTTTAGCGGTAATCTCTGTAACAACTATCAAATATATTGAATATTTCCTCCACAATAAACATCAGAGACGTTTTCTCCGACGATAAGTATCAAAAGCATTTTCCCTCGCCAAGAAAAAATATGAAAGGTATTTCCCCCACCCACGGCCAATAAAATGTGAAAGGCATTCCCCCCGCCAATAAAAATATGAAAGGCCTTTCCCCACCCCGCCAATAAAAATATCAAAAGGCATTCCCCGCCAAAAAAAATATCAAAGGCATTTCCCCCCCCCGCCAATAAAAAAAATATTAAAGGTATTTCCCCACCCCGCCAATAAAAATATTAAAAGGCATTTCCCCCCCCCCGCCAATAAAAAAAATATCAAAGGCATTCCCCCGCCAATAAAAATATCAAAGGCCTTTCCCCACCCCGCCAATAAAAAATATCAAAGGCATTCCCCCGCCAATAAAAATATTAAAAAGGCATTTCCCCCCCCCGCTAATAAAAATATTAAAAGGCATTTCCCCCCCCGCCAATAAAAAAATATTAAAAGGCATTTCCCCCCCCCAATAAAAAATATCAAAGACATTCCCCCGCCGTCAATAAATATCAAAACATTTCCCCCCCACCGGCAATAAATACAGGAATGAAGATTGAACGCGGAAAGGTTTATCGTGTGTCTTGTATTCAGTTGGCAGTTGTTTTGTTTTTTTTATTAATTAAACAGCTTTAGGATGATAGTTCCGAGGTTTCATGCAATTTTGTTGATTTTTGTTTGCTCGCATTTCATTTGCAATGTCACGAGAAATAGCAGTGAATGTCAGCAACGCGATAGAAGCCAACACGCGTAACGTGATATTTAAAAATCAAAAAAATGTTTGTATATTTTAAAACCAACAAAATATTTCTAACCCTAGTGTCACCATCATTCCAAGGATTGTTTGAACCACTGAATTTATCTTTCAGTTTCCAAATGAAAATATTTAGCAGAACACTTGATCCTTTAAATATGTAGATACATCAAGATGATGCGGCTGAACATATTAGTGATGTCATCCTGAGATAAGTAGGGGTTTCGGGATTTTCAAAAACACACCCGTTCACCCAGGCAGTCTCGAAGAAATACGAGTCTTTGGCCAGTTATCCAACATCGCGTCAGTAATTATTGAATGTTCATATTTGATTTTGACTCTTATATAAGACCGAAAGTATGTGACACCCAGTGAGGAATGAACTCACTACTCAGTCGTAATTGATCTAGCAAGACAAGCTTTCTAACCATTACACCACGTCGAGGTGCCATTTTGACTCTTATATAGACAGTCAGAGAAACCTCCAGTCAAATGCCTTTCTCGGTTCTTCCTCTGTATAAATATGGAAAAATCCAATCTCAATTCGATAATGAAGGTTATGATACCAGTTCCTCAATTTGGCGACCAGAATGTATTAACTACAGGTAAATGTATTTTAATATCTTATCAATAAATCAATTTTGGGTTAACGGTTCATTTTGCTTTAAGGCATATCAACATCAATAGGTTATTTACTGCAGATAAGATTTTTAGGATAGGTTCGTGTAAAAACAATGTTTTCTTTGTAAGAAATTAATTTGTTCCCGGCCTTGTGCCACAATTCTGTATACTACAAAATAAATCGTAAGAAATAAGTTTTTAGATCATATTTCATTGATGTATTTTTGTAAATAAGGGAGTCAAATATATTGTTCCTAATATTTAAAAAAATGTATTGCTTGTATTTTTACAATAAATATGTATTATACTTTCTTAGTATTTTGACCACAGTTTTGGGGTAACCATCTGTTCATAGCTGGGATTCAAACAGTTGCTACCATCCTGGATCAGAGTGGAGCTGGGAACAACGACAATTATAGATGATCGC